AGAGCAGGGCCAGACCATGGGGCTGGGCTTGATCCACAGACTGGCGCAGCTAGGGGTGGGTGCCATGTGCAGCATGTCGTGGAGTGGCCTGAAGGAGGTGCTGTGTGCAGCATATAGGTCAACCTTGAGTCCCATGGGAAACGCTGTGGGCTGGATAATAGGGCTCTGAGGGCCATGTCTTTGGCATCCATGTTCTGGACAAAGGAAAGGTGGGCATGTGTTGTCTGTTGGGGCTTCCTGAAAACATTATGTATGGTGCCAAGTATAAGCTAGTGAAGATTTGGGATGAGTAGAAGAAGTCTGAGGTGTATCAAGAAGTGGCTAAAGAAAAGACGGCATTGGGAAATACTTGAAAAGGATAGTGTTAAACTGGAGGGACATTACTGATATTGTTGCACAAAGATGAGTTTTTTTAAGACTTACTATTTTCATTAATAGCCTTGGCACAAAGAGTGGGTGTATGATGATGAAACTTACTATTTTAACACAAAATTGGAAGTAGTTAGCCATGTTTAGTCTGAAGTTGGGCAGAACGTGGTTGTAAGCAGGGTGGATTAATTTCAATCAAGTCTATTTAAATCACTAATTTAAAATTATGATTTAAATCAGCAAACCAAAAGCCTGATTTAAATCAAGTCCCTCCACTTGCCCCCAGAAATACTTGTTTGGTGGGGGGTTGCCATCTTAGAAGCAGAAAAAAACAAATCACACACTAAAAGTCAAACATTTGCTATAACATTTTAATTGGATTACAAAAAATATATTTTGTCATGATTTGTGTTTGCATACTGTATATAGAAGTGATTGCATAATAACTCAAATAAATTCTTAGTCTTGTATATTGTGGGGGATGTATATGTGGAGGCAGGGTGTGGGTGTGTGGTGTTTTGTGGACTTTGAAGGAAGGTGCAAGGGTGTGCCCCCCCCCGCCCTCCCCTTATGGCGCAGCAGTAGCAGATAGAGGTGCTCAGGGCAGTTGTACCCAGAGCAGGCACTGATGCCTAGTGGGGCACAGCTCTAGCCAGTGCTGCACATTGCAGTGAGGGGCGCAACCTCCACCAGGCAGTGTCTTATCGCTGGCACTCCCTGCCACTCACAGACAGCCCCCACAGTCATGCAGCATGGGAGGGAAGCCATAGGCACTGGAGCTGGCTGCCTTTCCCATCGGTGTTGTCTGGCATGGGAGGAAAGCTCCAGGCACCTTCCCCTGGGGGGCAAGGCAGCTGGCTCCAGTGCCTTGGGCTCCCCTGTCATGCTGAACATGCTGCTATTAAAAACCACCCGGTCAGAGGCTGCACCCCTTGCTGCAACATGCAGCTCTGACCCTGCCGGGCACAAGCACCCCTGCCTGCTGGAGCTGCGTGCCATGGGGGTTGTAGGGGGTAGGGTCCCCACACCCTCCCTCACACCCACATGCTGCCCACCCAAGCTCCACATTCCCACTGTCCCCTGGGCATGGGCTCCATGCTGTCACCAGCCCCAGTCCCACGCTCTGCACTCCTGCACTGCTGCAGCTCCACTGCACCCCCACCACTTCCCTACTTGCTTCCGGGAGGCAGGGGAAGGGAAGGTCCCCAGAGCCTGCAGCAGTGGCGCTAACAGCCTTGCCCGGGAGCTGCCTTCTGGCTGGACCCTTCTACCCACAAGGGTAGGAGTGAGGCACCGTGTACGTCTCCCCCAACATAACTTATTGCACCTCGTTATGTCTTGGGGGGGGAGGGATACACATGGATGCCTCACTCCCACCCTTGTGGGTGGAAGGGCTGGGCAGGGTACAATTTGGTGGGTGCTGTGGGATGGATCTGGCTTGCAAACCATATTTTGCCTGCCCCGGTATAGACCTTACATCCCTTGCAAGCCCCTAATGCATGAAATTCATTAAATTTTGAGACATATTTTTAACGCTTGACCTCAGATTAAACGTTTTCCCCTTCATTCTTATGTAGAAGAAAATCAGCTTTAACAAACAGTCTGGAATTAAGAGGTTCATTGACTGAACCTGTTTATTTTAATACCTTTATATACTAAACTTATACCTTGGCCTGTGCTGTATTAAATACAAATTTCATTTTAATCTGGTTTATTTTTGAAAAGGAAACTTGATTAATGTTTTATCAGTATTTTAATTAAGTCAGATTTTTTAAATTTATTTTTAAAACCATAGCATAGACTTTTATCCACCCTGAGTGTAAGATATTGCACTTTTTCTGGGAGAGAGCCCTTTGTCCTAGGAACGTACAGACCTAGGAGGCCATTGGTCCACTTTTTATTGTCTGCAAAGTGTATGAGATAATGTGCTGACATTTTCTCAGGATAGTGCTGTGTACATCTGTGAACTGATCATAGTTTGTTAATTGCCAGTCATTCCGAGGACAAGCCTTTTGGAGGGGTAGCAGGACAGCTTGAGGGCTTCATGTAGGGAAGGGCTGTGCCCTGTGTATTTTTGATCTGGGTTAAAAGCTGGGACAATAAGACCTCATCAAATGAGATACTGATATGTGCATTAAGTTCAATCAAAATAGGTAACTATTTGCCTTTTATTTTAAATCAGGACCATCTGACTTCTGAGTGGCTGTTTCCCTTGCCCCGAATCCCAACCCTCACTGCCCTGCCATGTCCTTAGGGTTGAAAGCAGGCAACAGAAGCTGGTGGAGGTGGGGGGAGCCCAGGGATCTCATGGCAGTAGCAGAAGATCAATGGGAAAAGCCCTAACCAGGAGCCCAAGGGCTGAAGGTTAACAGCTCAGGGGCTACCAGTTAACCCTGGTTTTAAACCTTAAGAGGGGTGGGTGGGTGGGTGGCAGGGGAGAAGTGTGTTAACGTTATGTCTGGCTTTTCAGATTTTCCCAGTTGTTGGGAAACTGGCTACTTCAGAGTGACATAGGGACTGTCCTCCTGTACCAGTAGTGCTCTAGTTTAGAACATATCTCCTAGACTAGAGAAAGCAACACTTGGTAGTTAGTATTTGAAGCCTTTTTTGGTCCCTTCTAAGTTAGTGTTATGCATAGCCAGTATTTCGTAATAGTATCAAAGGGTGATTAATGTGATCAAAGGGTGAAATGGTATCCTTTGTCCTTTTTAAAGGCTTAAGGAAAAGCTTCTTTATGGTAGGGGTGACCAGAATTTGAAATAGACTTCCTAAGAAGGTGGTGCGGTCCTCAACCTTGGAAGTCTTCAAGAGAAGACTGGACAGACACCTTGCTGGGATCATTTGATCTCAGCAGTATTCCTGCCGAGAGCAGGGGGTTTGGACTCGATTTTTCAAGGTCCCTTCCAACCCTTAATTTCTATTATATGATATCTATGAAAACAAACCTTTTGTTTCAAGGTCATCATGTTGCAATTCCATCTTTTAGGAGGATCAGTGCACAACTCTTGGCCCTGAGGTTGTTGTTGTTTTTTTTAATGCAAACAAAATGAAGATTTACTTTTTCAGTGGAATCTATTCTTTGTCTGTGGTTGTGTGCATATGATTTTTATTACTTAACATAGCACAGTTTTTCCTATTTTGGGGCTTTGCAGACTTCTGCACCAGTTATTCAGTGATGATTAGATTAGTTATGTGACTAAAAATCAGAGAGGTGATTCTGCCAGGTGCAGTTTTATTTTAATGAGATGCTGAAGTCACTGAAAGGGCTGGCCCTTGAGGATCCTTTAACTGAAATGCCAGAGAAAGCTTTCACATATATGAAGCAAATATTTTGATACATGGTCCTAATTTAAGAACTGTTAAAATTGGAGGTACACCAATATACTGGTCCATATTGGATTGGCACCGATAAAAGGAAAATTTAACATTTTTGGCAATCAGCTTTTTTTGGCCAGCGTAGCCAATAATGTCACCAATATTAAATACCTCATGCATGTACACAGCCAGGATTGCAGCCTGGCAGCTTAGAGATCAACGACTGGCTAGTAAGTCTGTGGGGGAGGGGAGGGAGGCAGATCTAGGCCCATACAGTGAGGGAGGGAGTGGGGCTGAGGCAGGTGCTGCCCAGGCAGTGTGGGGCACAGGGTAGAGCCATGGGCCGCTCGTGGTGGGGTGGGGCAGCTCTCTGCCACTGCGCCCACCCCTGCGGGAGGCATGGGAGAGCATGTGCCCCTTGGATTTGTGCATGGAGCAAGGGTAGGCTTTGGGCCAGGGGCTAGACTGGCCTCTTCCTGGCGGAGGACAGTGCTGGAGCTGTGCTCGGGGTGGGTAGGGGCTGTGCTGAGAGTGGGGGCTTTGGGGTGGGCTACAGGCACCCCAGAATTCCTTGTAGCCCCCAGCCCCAAATCCACAGTGGGCAGCCTGCCCTCACCCCACACAACCATGGGGCATATGCCCCCCAGACAAGCTGCCCACAGCTGTCTCCAGCCCCACTCCCTTCCTCATTGTGGGAGCCTCAGTTTCTCCACCCCCACCCCTGCAGCTTACCAGCCTGACATTACTCTCCAAGCTGTCATATGTATATTGGATCAGTATTGGTGGATATGGCTGGTTAATAATCGGCCATTGGGATCAGCTAAAAAAATCTTTATTGGTGTACCCCTAGTTACAATATGTAAAGATGCTGTAGTTTGGAAGCATCTTGTACAGAATATTGCACAGTGTTAATAAAAGGCAACAAGGCTTTTACAGGTTTTGAGCACAGTAGCAGGTGCTGAGCAGCCTCGAATTGCAGAGTTCAGTTCTGTTAATTTTTTTTTTTTGTGTGGTGCAGCCTCTTCTATTTGAAAACTGTGAACTCAGTTAAAAATTACACTTGCAAAGTTTTCAGTTTCAATAAAGGTAAAATGCTTTCATTTTCCTCTGTGCGTTCTCCTTTTTGCTGAAAAACAAAGACCCTTATTAAAATCAGGGAAAAGAAAAGTTGATAGTTTTAAAATTCAGGTCTCTTTAAAAATACTTTGTAGAAATGTGATTCTTTCAAATCAAAAGTCCTGTTAATGCAACTCTAGCTTGTAATTATAAGAATCTGATAACAAATGTTATAACTCTTATTCATTCTTATTTTGCAGACCGTGAGGACCAATCAATTCTTTGCACGTAAGTAAATAAGTGTAATTCTGAAGTTGGCCATTTTTATTGTATTCCAACAGTTGCACAAGGAACTTGTCTGCTTTTGCCCAGTCAGGTTACTCTCTTTGTGTATACCTTAGCAGCTAAGCCTAACTTTTAAAAATGCATTTTTAAAAAGTGCAAGTTCAACCAATCAGTTATGTGTATATCTGTAATAACAGTACTGTAACTATTCAAAGTAGTGGCCCACTGCCACACAGGTAACTGACTATTCTGCAGTTATTCAATCTTGGCATTTACCAAGAGGGTTAAATGTCAAAAGACCTCAATCCTTGAACTAAAATATAAAATACTGTATTTTTTTGTGAAGTACAGTCAAAAGGGAACTGGCTTTTTTTGGAATAATAATTGATGTTGAAACCCCATAAAGCAAATGAGTTTCTGAAGAAATGCTGCATCTAAACAAGACACTACATCACTATAGTGATAAGTTACAATGACGTAGCATCAGCGGGCACAAAATGTGATGCCAATGGTACTGCACAGTAGCTTGTTGCCATTGCACAGTAGTGTGGAGAAAAAACCTGTGCAGCATCAGAACTGCACAGTAACACTGGTTAATGTGCAGTCATTTACTACTTGCTTAAGTACTAAATGACCGCACAGTAACAACAGTGCAGTCCGGCGCACATGTAGACATGTCCACTGTCTGGTTACCTACTGCCACATCTCTTTTTCTTGTTTCAGTAGTTTAAGGCAAATTTTCTTTCTAGCCTCCCATACCTGAATGAGTTAGCAAGCTAAGGGATCTTTTGTACTATGACTGGCAGGGAATAACTGTGAATGGTGTGAATAGTTTGAGGTTTGGGCAGCTGACTTGCCTCATTTCAGATTCTTCTTCTCCCAAGGGTTGTCACTTTCTGCCTCAGTGTAATTCTCATTTAATTTGTTTATAGGCAACATGAAAGGACACATGGCCTATTGCAGACAATTCGTCTTTTTAGCTTGCCCTCAGGCACCAAATGCTTGTCAGGATCCCAGTTTATCCAACTGAAAGCATAATGTATAATATTTTCCAGTGTATAAAATAATTTCTGATAAGTTCAGTAAAGATGTCTTTTCCCAGTGTAGGACATCATTACAGTATACTTACTGTTGATAGAATACCTATTGTTGCCCTCAACCACATTTTTGAGTGAGGATTCAATTGTGCTTGACTATCTGTTCTTTGGGAAGGGGAAGGGGGAGATAAAGCCCTACTTTACCTAGGGAGCATGACTTCAGGGGCCTCTGTCATCAAAGTGACAAACACTTTCCTATGTTGCCAGTGTCTGAAGCTTTTAGGGTCTTGCTTCCAACAGAAAATAGGCAAGTCAATGGCTGCCACTATAGGTCAATGGGAGCCTTCCAAGGACAGCACTATATAAATTCAGTGTAACCCATATTAAGTGAATTTTAAAAATATGTGAAATGTAGTGAAATCTGGGCCAGAGGTATGTTCAGTACTTTAAATCACTACTAGTAAAATTTGCAGATGAAATAAGCTGGCATAATGATGGGCAGGCTTGTTATGCAGGTCGGCTTACGTTGTTTGGTAATGTGGATTCAGCTGGGGGGGTGAGAGCGCAAGAGAATATAGCTAGGTCTAATGGCATATGTAGGTCACACATGCAAGTTATGCTGGTTTCTATAATGTAGGGGTCTTCTGAGCTCATAGTGGCTAGCTCAGGGGTGGGCAAAATGTGGCCTGCGGGCCGGACGCGGCCCATTGGGCCATTCTATCCGGCCCGTGGGGCCCCTAAAAAATTTAGAAAAATTAATATTTGTCTGCCCCTGGCTGCCTGTAATGTGGCCCTCAATGGCTTGCCAAAACTCAGTAAGTGGCCCTCCGCCCAAAATAATTGCACGCCTCTGGGCTAGCTAGTTGAACATGAACTCTTAGTGTAAAGCTGTAACCAAGGTCCCTGACAGATGTTCATTTAAAGGCTCAATGGGATCGGATGCATGATCCCAGCAATCGTGCCTCCTACCATGCTACACGTGCATGGCAAGAGGCACAATTGCAGGGTTAGGGATTAGATCCCAATTGCACCAACAGTGCTAGTGCAGGGGGAGCCCAGGATCTGCACCAGCAATAACCAGGCAGTTAGCTGACTGCTGCTCCCAGCCTCTGCAGTCCAGCAGAGTTGGGCTCCAATGCAACCCTGAGGCTGAGAGCCCTGATCAGTTTTAATTTCTGCAGAATCAAAATTTGAAGGTGGTTAAGGGCAGGAGGGAAATGTCAACTTTAACCAAAATGTTTTGGTCTGAAACACTAAAATAAAAAATGCTTTCATTTTTTTGAGGGTGCCATTATGGAATTCTCTACGCATTCACATGAAGATTAGATTTTTTTTTGATAGTGGCATCTATTGTGGCAGTGCAGACCCTCTGTGTTCCCTCATACTTGCATACAAAGATCATAAAGAATGAATGCGATGCTCCATCAATTCCCTCGTACTGTCTGCTAAGCAAGATGAAACTTGGTTAAAGTCTGACTTTCTGTTACTGAGCTCTGACTTTAAAATTCTCAACTCTTCAAAAATTTCTGGAATTCATCTGACTTCTTGAAATTTCCATTCAGCAGCATAAATGTCTTCAACCCATCTGGACTGAATACTGGCAATTAGAATTGCAGTATTCCTCTTGAAATTTTTGAGCCTCAAGCTATAAATGTCCTATAATTGATGAATTCATCCAAAGATGTCAGCAAGTGCCACTTGTATTTTACGATTGTCCCATATCCTGAGTACATATTTAATATTCCTCTTTTTTGTAAAAACCTGTAAGCTCTTTTTTTGTCTGGGTGCAGTCTAATGAAAGATTCTTTAGACCTTGAAGAGATGGATATCAGATTCCCACTAGGAAAAAAAATCCTCAGCTCTGTCCAACTGACAGAGACCTGACTGGACCAGCTATCAAATCAGACATTGCTACTCTCGGTATTGAAGTGTGGGACAAACGAGGGCTGGTCCAAACCAAATAGCGATTCCTGATGGAGGTCAGTGCTTTTGCAAAAAGATATTCCATGTAAAGTCTCAGGAGATGTACAGTACCATATGGTAGCTGAGGGCCAGTGATTAGAAATAGTGTACAGCAATGGGGAGGAAAACCTCTCTAACACTGGTCCTGAATATGCATCATGCTACTTGATTGCCTTCAGTAAGCAACATACTTCTGGCTGAGCTGGGACAATCATTGGCTTAACACAGACCCAGGGGCAGAGAGTGCCATATTCCCTATTGCTGCTGTTAAAGACAGTCTCTCTCAACATATGTCCTAGTGACTGTGAATAAGAGCATAAAAAGTGCCATATTGGTGCTCCATCTAGCACAGTAATCCTGCCTCTGACAGTGGCATTAGCAGGTGCGTTAGAGGTAGAATATATGAACAGAGCCTGTCTAGCATAATCCATTCTCTGTTGCACCGTCTCTGGCATCCACTATCATTGGCTTAAGGATGCCAGAAAATAGTGACTGTTCTGTTTAATAGCTGTTAATGGATCTATCATACCTAAGGGATTCCAGGTGACCAATCCACTCAATTCAATGTAATACACAGCCTATTGTGACAAGCTGTGCTTCACTGTCTGGGAAGCTGAGGAGCCACCTTATTACTATTCTGTACAGTAAATAGAAAGAAATCGGTGCCACACTTGCGGAACTAACAAACAGCATACAGAACCACCCAGACATAACAGTCGTTTACCAAGAGAACTCTGCATCCAGCCATGAAGCCTATTGCAAACACCTCTACTCCTTAAAGAAGATGGAGGCAAAATTTTCCAAACTTACATACTCCAACAACAACTCTTACAATCCATGACAGTGTCAGCAACCAGTGTATTCAGCCACACCCTCCAGCCCTTGGATAGGATATTAATCTGTTGGCATCTGATCAGAGAAGATATTTGAGGAAATTTTAGTGTAGATCAAGGGTTGGCAACCTATGGCCTGCAGAGCCTTTGCATCTGGCCTGTGGGCACCTAGTGCTCCATCAGAGGGATGATTGTCTCTGACACCCAGCTGTAGCATAGTGCAGGGAGAAGTGGCAAAGATGGCTAGACACTAATGCCTACCCTGCTAAAACCTAAACTATGTCATTCTGGCTACCATGCTGGAAAATGTTGTCAACCCCTAATGTAGACTAATTGCAGTCACTATAGATGTAGTCACCTCCATGCCACCAGATTTCATTGTAGCAACACCCTGAGATCCACTGTCTATAGCCAGGCTCTGTTAGAGTTGTATCTGCTCAGATCCCACTGACAGGGATGCAGATCTTGCAGATCTGGAACAGGGATTCCTACACTTGCAATACATCCTCAAACCATATTGACTTGGATCAACAGAGCCAAACTCAGACCCTGCTCTGACATACCAACCCTATGACAAGGACAACAGTCTCTCTTGTCACTTAAAGCCCTCAACTTGAACACTTCGGGCACATTTTATGACTTCCAACCTCCCCTGGAAAATGATGACTCAAGCCTGTCTTGGCTTATAGGCACTCTCCAACCTCAAATGACATCTCTAGTAACAAACTACCTAACTCCTATTCTCATCAAGGCATGAAGCCTTGTTATGGAACCTTGCTTATGCCTCTCTGAACAAGTTGGTCTATAAGGTGCCACCTTGCCCTACCTTCTGCCTAACTTGAGATTAACACAGCCAACTTTCTTGCTCACTTAGCTTTGTGAGATCTTTCTGTAGTTCGTCTCTATCAGCTTGGGATTTGACTACTTGGTATAATTTAGTAACAGCTGAAAACCTGGAGTTTTCTCTATGCACTTGCATTTCCAGGTCAATGATGAAAATGTAGAACAAAACCAGGCCCAGCACAATCCTTTGGGATTCTATTATTGATCTTTCTCCATCCTGAAAAGGGACCATTTAGCCTTGCCCTTTGTTTCGTATCTTCTAACCAGCTTTTAATTCATGGGAAAACTTCCTCTCCAATCATGTGGTAACTCCAGTTTTGTTTTATTT